TATGATTTATTCCCTCAAAATAAAAGTTCCATAGCATAAATGAATTGTTTAGTAATAAATGAACAGGACACAAAAACAGGTCCTGTCACTCCAAGAGACGAAGAAGAATGGGGTTTTCCTATGAATACTGTATATTACTTTTGTAACATTATTTTGATACTGGAGGGAAGACAGGTCTGCAATTTTGTAGTAAACGCAAAAGCATCTAACTCCAACTGAACTGCGCAATTCATAGACTTACTGCCATTTTCGGGTCCAAAGTCAGTCAGGAATATTCTGGGAGAATTCTACAAATTAAGACAAAGAGGACAGTATGGAATAAAATTTGCAACACATGCGTAAATCGCACCTTTTTTCTGCTGTCGGCCATAGGACATTTTTACATCTGTAATCTACATCTAGATCTAGGTAGTCTGAAATCTCGGGAAAAATGTTGTCGTACATATACACATAAAAACGACGTAATTATATGACCAGGCAATTTATAGGAAGCGAGCTTCGTGCATACAATTTAGGAAGAATTAAGGGACACGCATAAAGGTGCCGCAATTAGCCATTAGAAGTTTCCTGGATTAAGGAAGCAAACGAAGTATTCACCCATGCAGCACTTCAACAAAATTCAAGATATCTAAGATATCTCCTATTCTTACCAAAAGACCCTTTACGGAGCTCTTTTTTCTCACGCGTGTTTGAGGTTCCTTTATACCAAGGTGAAAAAAAGCTGCAAAGAAGACTCCGGTTCCACTAAGAATGCACGCAAGGTACTGTTAAAGAAAGAAAAAATCAATAGGCAAATTAGAAGAAGGTAACTGATACTTTGACGGACGAAAAACTGAGATACAAGAGGCAATCACAGCAAAGAGCAAACAAGCAGCCCAGGAAACTCTTTTTGCAATTGCTCATATCTCTCCTTTACAGTTACTTAACACCAATAGAAAGTTGAGTATACTATGGCCCCTAAGCGTTTATGGGTTGCTGCTACTTACCAGAAACTCTGGAAGGCTGTGAGGTCCCAAATTATTGCCTTTGTCTTGTCTGAGAAGGCCCCAAGCGACTGTGTAAATGAGAATGCCACTTAGGAAGCTGAACATTGTCCTTGTAAACAGATAAAATACAAGAATATGGGAAATAGTTCTTTAGTACCATTTATGTTATCCTTGCAAAATGAATCTGGGAAATATGGTCTCCCATTGCACTTGCTTTGATCATATTACGAAAAAGTAAACATTGTGTCCCACTTAATTGTAAAATGACCGAATTGCCAATCCAATAAGCTGAACTGCTTTATTTCTCTTTGCCTACTTTATAGCTCCCATGATTATATGATAATTTTGAGGATAATTCGCATGCATGAGTTACAAATTAATTTGAATTACATCCTCCGTAGAAAACCAAAATTAGTTTACAGGAGAACGTCCTAGGCGAGAGAGTGAAGAGGGAAATTTGTAAAGCTACATAAAACATAAATATGAGAGCCATATAGACTATGAGTTTCAGACAAAGTTGTCCATAACAAACCTCAAGGTGCTTATAGCTGTATATTCCTCAACGGACTCCGCTGCAGTAGCGATGAAAGACGAATGATTTACTTCCATAGTGATGCCAAATATGCCATAAATAGAATTCAAGAAGGCGTAATAGACAATTGGAAGCCAGCTATGATGACTACCAATACAAGGATAACAGCGGTTGGCGGAAAGAGGGACGACTACGGACAACAAGACTGTTGCCAAAAGGTGCCAAGATTTTCGCCGGCCAAGTTTCTTTGATAGAAAAGGTAGCCTAACCCTATCAGCAAGGTAACCAGAAATTGATGCGAAGAACGCGTCAACTAATTGCGTAACGAAAAATATAACTCCAACATCTGCAGCTGAAAGTTCCACTACCTCCATCAAAAACAGGAGAGCAAATGAAGCATGATGCTGCCGACAGAGGTCTGTGAATAAATTTCCTACTGCGCAAAATATTCGTTCTCTTCTCCGCATCTTAACATGCAACGAACTGTACACAATCCACCCGAAAACGGTGGAGTTTGGTTGGATACAGATTTAGTCACGTACTTATTTCAAATCTTATTCCAAATGACTTAAACGTTTCCATAAAAGCATCCCTTGACTAAATTCCTGCGTAATTGGCCTCTTGGAACGTCTAGGAATGTGATAATTCGATCAAAAACCTTCAAAAAATACTACGGAAACAAACTTGCACTCGACCTTGAACTCTTGGGCAACACTGTTTTTAAAACATGTCCACCGGTAATCGATGTCTTCTTTGCAGATCATACATGCACGTTTGTGATATGTTGACCTGAATCCACTCCCGGAAATTTGCAGCTAAAAATGAAAATTTATCTTAAATGTGGTTGTGTACACAGAAAATTTGTACCTATTACTCGTTCGAAGCCTTTCGAAAGCATTTGATCAAGGCAAAAAGATTATCAGAACAAAGTTGTGAATTGGCTTTTAGATGTATAGTTAGAAAGTTCATTTGTATTTTTTGCAGTTACATATATGCAAAATGGATACAGTAAAAGTTCGTATTCCAAAAATTTGCGTCTTCAATGACCACAACGATTATCCCGAGGAGTGAAATTCGGATAAAGTATTACTAATTTGCCCACTAACCAACATAACAACGGAGGCGCAAAGGAAAGAAGATCATTCTGAATGGATTGTGCCGCGCATATACGTTAGATTACCATGATTGGTCCAATGTAGAGGCCCAAGTATTTTTTGAATATCAACTGCAAAAATCTCGCTCATTTACTGGCTAAGAAATTCTGAAGGACAGAAATTCAAAGTGCCAGAGGGTTCTGGAATTGAAAGTTGTCGACACATCTCATATCGCAGGAAAAAAATGGATCATGATTCAATTGTTATAGAGTCAAGTGTTTTATTTTTCTTCCATCATGATTATAAATATATATTCATATCACGTTCACTGAAGTATTTTTATGCCTGCACAAGTACAATACATATTACCTCAATCGATGTTTTGGCTGTATAATGAAGTACGACGAACTGAAGTTCATAAATCGCAAGAGTCCAGAGTTGAAAGTAGTGACCATAAAGTTTTATTTTTCTTAGCATGTTTCCCATATGAATCAGGACAGCTCTCTCGATCGAGCTGTGGGTACAGTCTGACAAGTGCGGAAGGAGAACACTTAATAAACCTTTTTTTGGAAAACTTACAAATTTTTCTGCAATCAAGTCAGATATTATCCGACTCTGTTTGAGAAATATAGGTCTCGATCGGTATACCCTCCGGCAATTGATATCTACTTTCTGGTTTATTCCTCTGTGAGAACTATTAGCATGCTTCAGTTTTGAAAATCCGTACTCTTCTTTAAAATTGCAG